AGTGACAAGAAAAGACAATAAAAAACGAGGTTTAAAAAACTCGGTAAGAATAACCAAAAAACAGTTGAATAAAGCAGATGAAAGCAGCGAAGAAGGTGAAAGAAAACAGGAAGAAATAAAATTCTAGTTGAAGTTAAGGAAGATAGGTTACGAGTGGAAGTAATGGAAACCGAAACCAAAAAGAAATACTGACTGGGATGAAAAAGAATAAATCAACATGTGGTTAACAACAACCACAACACAAAAGCAACAACTACAATTCCTTTTTTCATTTTTCTAATCTTTTTTTTTTCTGCTCAAAAGTGATCCCAAATCAAAAATAAAAATAAAAAAAACAAAAGGAACTTTCTTGGGAGGTTTCTTTTTATTCATCATTTTCATCTTCTTCTTTCTGTTATTTCTTCAATCACGGTTTTATTTCAGGTACTTTCAGCAAAAATCACAGTTCTTCAGTCTGAGAACCGAAGTATTATTTAAAAAAAAAAGACAGAAAGGAAAAGATACAAGTCGGAAACAAATTGCGCCAATTCTTTGATGTTAATACATCGTCGAACAACCAAAAACTTCTTCCATTAATAATATTACAATTGTTCAGATGATGATAAAGAAAAAAAAAGAGAGAAAAGATGAAGACGAAGATGCAATAAGAAAACGCATATTGCCGATCAAAACACAACAGTATCCCACCATTCCCCCGACAGTTCTCTTTTTTCCTACACCATCTTTGCAGCTACCTTATTGCCTCATTTTCTAAAATCTAACAAAGAAAACGAGCCGAGCAAAAAGCAACTTCTGTTTTACTTACCCATCAGCTCAGATCCATCTCTACAGCCACGTTTAGGTTAAAAATTCATCAGTTATCAATAAACAGTCTCTCCCAATTACTTTACTCTATTAGCGTCACAATACACACACAGATATATTGCTTTTAGCATACCAGATTTCAGCCTCAACTCTTGCTACTGTTTCATTATTTTGACTACCAAAGGGATATTAATACAACCTAAATAGGTTTACGTCATCATTTAGTGATTGATAAAAAATGATAATACGCCAAGACTATCAAGCATTGCCTACAACTGAAGTGGCAAAGGATAAGCCAAAAAACCAAGGAAAGAAATTAAAACCAACACAGAACCAAAAAAAAACCCAACAAAATCACACCTGCACAGAGAGAAAGCTTTTTAACATGTCTTAAATCTCCCTCTTTTTAAATTTAATTTTTTTTCATTAATTTGGCTTTTCAACTTTTCCACTTTATTTTTTTTTCCGCGTTCAAGAAAATCAATGTTGAGCAATTTTTTCTTTTATTTCTTTCTGCAGTAGAATTATAAATCAATTTTATTGCCTTTAAACAAAACGAATTGCCTGAGCTCTCTATACTTTTCAGATGTCGGCCAAGTCAACAATTTTTTATTTTTAAACAATTTTTTTCTCTTATTTCGTTCTTTTTTTTACTCCCATCACATCATCTCTCCTTCCCCTGTCATTAACAAAATCTTCGTGCTTATCCAACTGATAATTACAGCTATAATAAACACTCAATTAAGAAGTTAAACCCGTCTTTTCTGCCCACAAATGAACGACCATGCGCGTGAATTCTGCCTTCCAGAAATGATACAGTAAAGTGCAAATAGGGAAAAACTAATACACTAAACAAAAACAAATAATTTTTAATATCTAAAAGTTTCCCATTACTTTTTCAATAAACGAAAAGAAAAAAATAACACCAACACTTAAACTGTCCTGCTTGTTCACATCATCACAAAAATATGCCACAATGTTCAGTTTGCTCAAAAAACAGCTAAAATATGGCTAATAACCGATGACGAGAAAGTATCGTTTTCTTTATTCTCTTCAAAAACGTAAAAGCTTCCCATTTACACTACCGCTGCGCAAAGTCGAAAAATTTCCCAAAAGCAACCTTGTTTCTCACCTAAACCATTTCACGACTTCCAAAAGAAAAGTACTGCGCCGTAGACTTATTTCGAATCCAGGATACCACGGTAAAAACATATAAGTATCACCCATCATCACCACCTTCGGATCCCAATGAACCCGGAAAAAGTGGGGTACACAAGGTTAAGTCTTTTGTTGAAACAAGCTCCACACGATCTTCGCCCTCAAATATAACATCTTTCACCTACCAATAGCTACAATAACAATATTAACTGCATACTACTAAACGTGGTTACCAAAAAAATGGAAGAAATGACAAAGGAAATTTCTTTTCTTCCAGAATGGGTAGAATAACGCAGTAACGACAAAGACAGCAGAAAAAAAAAGTAATCAACTTAAAGGAGAAAAAACATAAATTGCGTAAGAATGATCAAAATATCAATTACAGGAGAAAAAAACTGAGGGGAAAACCGACTAATGTAGCACGAAATTGGTCATCAATTTCTTTCCCGTTTTACTTGTTTTATAGTGAAAACAAACACCGAGAAAAACAATAAAATTATCAAACTAATCAGTAAAAGAAAGAAAAAAAAACAAAAAATCAGAAAAAATACCAATTAAAGGAAAAAACTGCAACAATAATTTAGCACATTTTTTGCCAATCTTTATTTTATTAGTTCCTTCTTTTTTCTTTTTATCATTTTTTTG